TTGGCTCTTGGCTAACTGTTTACCTCAAATATTATTTTCAGCATAGCTAAGTACCCCAACTTGGTTCTTCTTCATCTAAACAGGAGAGACAAGGATGTTATTAGAGTTATAATGCTAGTGCCTTAACCTTTATTTTCATCTTTGCATTGTCCACATAAGTGAGACCAAGTACACATAGGAATATGAAGGAAATGTGACTGTAAATACCAAATGAAGGTCCTTGTGAACATTTCCAATATGATTTTATTCCTTCCAGTGAATCATAATTACATTCTATTTCAGAAAAGAATTGCGCTCTGATTTCCTCTCTATCTTTCTGCTATTGCTTATTTACTATCGACGCTCTTAATTCATGCATTTGAGCCAAGCTAGTGCCCTCCGCACTTGTTCTGGGTGGGCGCTGGGTTTCTTTCATATGTTTCTGCATTTGATTCTTTAGTTCAGATGTTATTAATTCAAGGATTTCTTTTCTTATTTCCAATCTGATGTCTTCTATACCTTTCTGCAGCTGTTTCTTTATTTCAGAAGCTGCAGATTCCTTGCTTTCAGCTGTGTGATTTCCAATTTTTTCTGTGTTTCTGTACTTGTTACAGGTGGGCTTGGGTTCTGAGGTTGCATTTTGTTCCTTCTCGTCATTTTGTGTAGCACTGTCTTCTGACCTTTGTTGTAGATCTTTGCTGTAGTTATATCCTTTGCACGTACTGAAGTTCAGGTGCAGATCTACAAAGTTTGGACTTATCCAGCTGCGTCTGGCTTCGGTCTGGCTGCTGTGCTCAATCCTTCCCGCTGCTGCCCTTAAGGGTGAACCTGTTGTGCCCCAGACCTGGGCTAGGACTGGGTCTGGGGGCTCCCGGAACTCGGCCCATAATTACATTCTAATCATGTCAGTGTTTTTTTTTTTTTTTCTCATATTACTCTACTCCCTGTGTGCACTGCTCAGGAAGGTGCTGCTCCATGGACCCAAGATCTTAGCAACAAGTTTCAGGGCAAGCTTTGTAAACTATGGGTCTCCTTCCTCTTGCTGTTTGCCACACACTCACTTTCACATTGGAATTTCATAGACTCTTGAGTAAACTAACCACATGGCATAGGTATAATAGTCAATGGCCAATTTTTTTGTAGAATTTTTGACAAATCTTCACAGCCTTGGTGAGTTGGCTGGCTCAAGAGATGAACATAGCCCCTCAGTTGATTCAGTTTTTACTTCACTGTTCCTCTCTATTGTTGGTTCAGTTTAATGTTGTGCTCTTATCATTTTCTTCCTTAGACATTGGGAATTCCTCTGTGGAGGAGATGCATGGCCTTGCTATACTCCTATAGATATTTGGTGTTGACAATTTTGTAAGTTCTAAGGTACCTTGTTACCTAAGAGTGTTTTAATTCCATGTAGTCTGCTAATTACTAAGATGTATATAGAAAAAGATTTATCACAAGATAATTGAGCATCTGGAGATGGAAGGCCTTGTTTGGATATCTCTCTCCTTGTTGGTAGGTATCAGGTGTATTCACAGAGTAATGAAATAGGGTATCAAAATTGTTGGCCAATATATTTAGAAATAAGCAGGAGTGACTTAACCAGTGGCCTATGCATGTGTCCTCAAAGTTCATAGCACCTCCGTCTATGTTCAGAAAATGAGGCATTATCATAGTGTGCAGTGTAGTTTTGTTCTGGTGATATAAAGATATCCTGCATTGGAGAGTTCCACAAACTCATATGAAAAGTTATCTCTAAATTCTTGAAAAAAATGTAAACAAACTTTACTCTAGTGTCTTTATGTCTTAATCCTTTTCTTGGTCATTTGGCTAAAATAAGAGACACTCAAAACTTGGAGAAGATGTTTATTTGGCTCATATTTTGTTCTACAGTCTGCTGGCTCCAAGGCAGAATAACATGGCACTGACACATACTGGAGGAACAGTTGCTACCCTCATGGGAACTTTGAAACAGAGAATGGAGGATCCAGGGATGGAGAAATGCCCTTCATATTCCTTTCTCTTTCCTTCTTTCTTCTTTGTATTTAGGGAAGGGTCTACAGGGTGTTCAGGGTCTCACTACGAGGTCAGACTCATAGTGATTTGCCTGTTTACAGCCTTCCATGAGCTGGGATTACAGGTTCGTGTCACCACAACCAGCCTCAATTGCCATCTGAGCATCCCCCAAGGGTAGAGCTGGCAGGGGAGGCCCAGGGGCCCTTCATATTCCTATTCCCATGACCAAGAACTTCTCACAAGACAGCCTTCTAACACTGAGATAGCTCAGCACATCCATATCCAGTTATCTCTCACAAATCCTCAATTGATAATCAGCTATGCTGAATTAGAGAATGATAAAACAAATATTCACTTTAGTGAGAATAGAGTTACATAGCTCCAGAAAAAATGAGCTTGATATTCAGGTCTATCTGTATATAAATGACTATGTTCATAAGTATATGCTCACACACTTTACAAAAGAAGACAGTTTTTCCTCACATATTTAAGGTATATTAAACTCAAATGTTACTAAATCTGAGAAGAAAGGAGCTTCAATCATCACTTTGTTTCAATTTATGTTAAGTTATAATAATGATCTACTGTTTTATTTGTGTTTATGATAAAATAGGTATGAATAGATTTATAAGCAAGGAATTATTTTTATAAATATGAGAATCTACATTAAAAGATAACTTTACTGATTTACATTTCATATACTCAGTACATAAAATGTGCCACCAAAAATAGTATCATGAAATATACTGAGTTCTTCTATATAACAGTCTGATATTGGTCATGAGATAAGTAAAGTCCCTTTTTTTCTGAAGTGTTGATCTGTTATTCTGTCTTCTGGTTGTAATGTCTGGAACTCATCCTTGATGCCATTCCGACCTTGTCTGGAAAACACTGTCTCAAGCAGTTCTTGGTGAGGTGGAGCACACAGTGCTTCCACCCAGAGTAGAAGAACAGGGATGCAGCACAGGAAGAGCTCCTCAGAGGTAAGAGGAGTACAGGGCTACTGTCTTTCTCTGCCTTGCATGGATCCACGCTTTCCCTGCTTTCTAAGTGGCTACCAAATTCCTCTCCTCACTCCCACTCCACAGAGCACTACACATGCTTGTTTGCATGTCTCTTTGTCATCTGTTCAGAGCTCATCTGTGTCTTTTTGAAGAAGAAAAGCAAGAAACATTGCTATCATTTGATATTAAATGGCCTACAAATCTCCTTGCTGAAGGCTGTAGAACAATTGTGAAGTATGGAACAATTATGGGATGGAGTCTAGAGTAAGTTAGGTCTTGGGCTTGCTCTCTAAGGGGATATTGGTACATCATTCCTTCTCCTCTCTTTACTTCTAGCTATTATGAGGTGATTAATTTTGCTCTAATAATGCTCCCTGGCATAATGCTCTGTCTTATTACAAGTACCAAACAATAAAGTCAAGTTCTTAGATTATAATGCAAATTAAGCCTTTCCTTTTTAAAAAATTGATTACAGCAGGTACTTTGCCACAGTAATGGAAAACTGACTCACATGGATCTTCCTGTCTCTGTTCTGATGGTATGTCTCTATACTTTTATTCTTTAGAACTTTACTCTTTGAATTTTCTTATGGTAGGATATTTTGCCAAGTCAAATAACCCTCCCATAGATGTGAAACTGTGAGAATATTTGAAATATAGGGTTCACTTTGTTGCCTCAGTGAGTGCCCCTGTCTTTCTCTGCCATTTCTGAGGATGATGATACTGGTTTGCAGTTTTCATAGCTGCCACAAAATTTTTCCATTGTGTCCCTGTTTAAATTTTAGCTACTGAAGAACAATTGTGTTGTGCTTCTTCTCTCCATTATACTCAGGCAATATCACATAACTTCCCTGCCTTGGTGCTTGTAGTGAGGGTCATGAAGTTTATATTTTTGGGTGGTGAGGGAAGGAGAATGTGATCTGAAGGTCCTCAGATAGTTATAGGGAACAGCTATCCTGTCCAAGGGAGAGAGGCAGAACAGCATAAGGATTCCTGCTGTGCAGTAAAGTTGTTCTTCTCAGTGTGTGCTTCATGGTACTACACATAAAATTCTAGGTTTTCATATGCACAGACAGAATTGACTGCTCTAAATCTTTTTGAATATATGCATTGGCACTACACAGTATGAATTTAAAACATTTCTTTCTTTTTTTGGGCAGAACTGGGGATTGAACTCAGGCCCCTGTGCTTGCCAGGGAAGCGCTTATTCCACTGAGCCATCTCCCCGGCCCCCAACATTTCTAAATAATATCTTAAAGGCCACTAAAGTATTTAACCATATCCTTGATGTATAAGAAATGTTTAGTAAATGAAAAATCTGAATTACTGAAGTAAGCAAAAGAGATTGGCCTTTACAAAAACTATTTCATGTGAACATGAGTGCATAGGGGTGTGTGTACATGCTTTTGTAAAAATGAGGAGCAAATATCATCTCAGTACTGAGCATTTAAGGAATAATGACCTTTTGAGATTGATACGTGTGTTGCAATTTCCACAAACTTTGGCACAACATGAATAGGTCCTTATAGAGACAGAGTTATGAAGTGTTTAAAGAATATTGGTGCTTATGAAGTTCCATAGTTTAGTTTAAATTCTTTTATTTTGTATATGACTTGGAATTCACAATGTTATTTGCTCTGATCTTAGGTACTTAGATTAAAATACACAGGGAAGGCAAGAAGTGAAAAAGGATTTAAATCAATACATATGTTTGTTTTCTGTTTCCTTCATGAACAACCGAAACAGACTCCGGGCTATTGTGTGTGAGGCTCACTGTATGTGGTGAAACACAGCTGAAATGTCAGGACATTGCAAAGTTTTTGAGAAGATTATGATGAACCAACTCATTTGCAAGTGTTGATTTTTTTGATGTGGTACTCTAGTTGGGAGTTTTCATATAAAGGAAGCATGATTTGAATTGTTAAGATTTAGATACACATAAAATTTTAAATAAATGAATTTCTGCTTCTGCAGTGATATTGCACATTGCATCAGTCTCTTATCAATAATGGGTAGTGTCACAGGGAACATATTTACTATCATTTTTAGTGTGGAATTCATAATAGGAAACTTAGGAAATGGATTCATAGTCCTGGTGAACTCGCTGGGCCTGCTCAACAGCAGGAAGATCTCTGTAGCTGGTCACCTGCTCACTGCTTTGGCAATCTCCAGGATTGGTTTTCTCTGGTTAATTTCCACTAAGTGGTACATGTATGTGTTTTATCCAAATTTCTGGATGAATTTAATATTGCTAAGAACAATGTATATGATTTGGATTATAACTTGTCACTTTAGCATGTGGCTTGCTACATGCCTCTGCATTTTTTGTTGTCTAAAGACAGCAACTTTTTCTAATTCTATCTTCCATTACTTTAAGTGGAGAGTTAAAAAGATGGTTTCAGTGACATTGCTGGTGTCTCTTGTTATCTTGGTTGTGTACCTTTTCAGTCAAATAGACAAATGGGTGTCCTTTTTGATACATATAAAAGAAATGTGTCTTACAGCCCTAATTTCCATGACTTTCCTGAATTTTTGCAACTTGCGTTGAGCAACACCATATTCACACTCATGGCCTTTACACTATCACTGACAACATTCCTCACGCTCATCTTCTCCCTGTGGAAATATCTGAAGAAGGTGCAGCACAATTTCCGAGGGTCCAGAGATGTGAACACCACAGCCCACATAAAGGCCTTGCAAACTGTGGTTGCCTCTTTCCTACTGTATACAATTTTCTTTCTGTCGATTTTTATACAACTTTGGAGATATAAGTTCCCAAATAGTCTTTATTTTTACTTTTGTCAGACTGCTGAAATTGCTTTTCCTTCATTACACTCATTTGTCCTAATCCTGGGAAATAGTAAACTGAAACAGGCCTTTCTTTCAGTGTTAAGTTGGCTGAAGAATTGGTCCAAAGATGTTGAACCTTCAGGTGCGTAGAGCATGCTGGGATTAAGCTGCATATTCTAAGAAGAAAGTCAGTTCACAGGAAATTCTTGCTTTTATAATTTTGTACTTCACAAATATTTTAAGAATATAATTTTTAAAATTTTACAAAAGTATGTTTGCTGTACAGACATTATTATCTTAAGTGTATTAATACAGGTATCTGTATATCTATCTATCTATCTATCTATCTATCTATCTATCTATCTATCTATCATCTATCGATGCTTTTTTTTTTTTTTTTTTTTTTTTTGAAAATGGGATTGAACTCAGGCCCTTGTGCTTGCCAGGCACTTATTCTACTGAACTATCTCCCTGGTATCTATCTATCTATCTATCTATCTATCTATCTATCTATCTATCCATCCATTTTTCTATATGTTAGCATGTCATTGCACACCTTGTAAGTGTAAGAAAACTTTATATTAGCAAAAATGAATATTAATTTTTATCAATTGTTATTCTTAAAATTTGAAGTCAATGTATAGTATAAGTATGAATATGAACAAGTTCCTAGGAAGTAGAACTTTATAATTTAATATACACAAAATGTTTTCAATGTATGGGTCTAATCTATAACATAAAATAAGAATAAAATACAGGTAGTTGAAAATCAAATATGCTTATACAAAATATACCAATCTGTGATATATAAATTTAAATAATTCCTCAGAATAATGAGACCTTCTTATTCCAGTTCTATTTATTTCATTATTTTCTACTTAAGAATTCTTTTAATACATTACAATTAGAATTTATACTTCAAATTATGAAATAGTTTGTATTTTCCAATGTAGTTTTATTTATATGTCACAGTTTGCTTTAATTTTAATGCATCAAGAATACTAAAATATCCTTGAGATGCTTTTGATTTAACATTACTGGAAATGGATGTTTGTTACACTTTCTCTCATTATTAAGCTGTATATCACTCAGATGGAAAACAAGCAGGTTGTCATAGGAACAGGAAATGAGAATAACTTCTGAATGACCAAAGTACAATTAAAGTAAAGCTTGTTGTATTTATATGTTATTAGTATTGATTACATGGTAGAAAAGGATGGTAAATATAAATTAAATGAACTTATGAAATAGGTGACATTTAGAATGAATGAAATTTAAAATTGTGATAAAAGCAAGAAAATGTAGGTTTGTATTCTGTGTCTAGTAATGTATCTTCAATAACATGCAATGATCTATGTGGCTGAATGAAAGATTTTATATTTGAAAGATTCTTTATTCAGGTTTATTTTCAGAGAGAAATCTCTTAAAACTGTGAGGACTGAGTTTGGAGTGGGTTTTGATCTAATATGGTATGTTAACTCACTTATTTGTTAAAAAAAACTTGAACATATTTTCTGAAGGAGATTTTGCAATAATTTATTGAGAAACATTTCTCTATAAAATAAAAAGTGGATCTTTGTAATATAGTCACTAAAAGAGGATATTGCCAGGTTAACTGTATAGCGCAGATGTTTTAGTACTCACATATGTGTAATGATGTTTTCCATGTGATAAAATTGAAGTTGCGGAGTGTTAAATAAATACTTATCTAGCAGTGTATGCAGAGGTCACCAGGGAGCTTTAGTAATGGCACCCTGAAGACAGAGGCTGTGCTCCAAATTCATATGTAATGTCAACAGGAAGAGGCTGCTTATAGCCACACTGAATACCTAGATTAAAAAATACAATAGAACTTTTAATTTTTATGCTTAAGTGTTTTTAAAAATGTATTTAGGAGAGGGTCTATATAGTGTCTTACTATGTAGATCAGACTCATAGTGATTCTCTTGTTTTGAACCTTCCAAGTGCTGGGATTACAGGCATGCGTCACCATGCCCACTCATAATTGCCCTCTCAGCACATCCCAGGGGTGGGGCTGGTACACTTAATTTTTCTTTAATATTTGTGACAATATACACAATGGCCACAATGTATACACAAAGTGAACAGTAGTTATTTTCACCTAGCTAGAAGTTTTTCCATGCTGTTATATGTGCCTTGTGTTTTAAGTTTATTCTCACCTGTTGCAGGTAGAAAATGATATTAGTATAGACAAGCAGTAGAGGTAGGCCCTTTAGAAAATGAGAAAAAGGTGAACTACAATTGAACTGTGGCCAAGGACACATCTGCTGGACACCAGACCTGAAGATAAAGATGAAATGACCAGGTCTGTACAGTTCATCAAATAACAAACATGAGGTCTAATGAATCATTGATAGATATCAATCACACTAATGGATGACCAAGCCCTCTGGACCCAGTCCTTCCTAAAAAAATATTTGTTCTTTTCATACACCCTTATTGCATGATTTGTTTCTGCATTGGATCACTAGTACCTGTGTAAACATACTTATATGTTTATTGGATAATCATAGCTTTAAAACATGTCATACTCAAACAGGCATTGCTTTATAAAATTTCCCTGTAATGTGTTGTTTGTGGAAACCCATCTGGTCCTTCTGCTTCTAATGTGCTGTACCACTTCCTCTCAATAAGTATCTTCCTAGTCTTAACTTCCATTGTTCCTAGAGGTCATTCTTCAATTTTTTGTTTATTTGTGGAGATTTACTAAATAAAACAAATATCTAAAAATCTTGATATCAACCTATGAAAATGTTATTTGAAAAAATACAGCAGTGACTTAGAAACAATGACATTGAGCCAGTTAAAAAGTTAGAAGAGTTCAAAATGATTATATCAATTGGATCTGATCAATATCTCCTCCAAGTCTGACTGTTACAAGGAACTAAATAAAAATTTAATTTTGCATATTAAGTGGTTACAGAATCTGTTTTTTTTTTTTTTTGGCTAAAGGTATTGACAAGGTCTCAGGCTTTCAGACCAAAATATTATTACTAACAATACCAAAATATATGCCATTATGTCATTCCTAACAATAGAGAAACCTTCATATGCCTCCTAGTAAGTAAAAAAAAAATTCTGGCATCTGTTTTCTCTTTGTACTACCAAATATCCAAAGAATCACACAATCACTCCAGTAACAAGAGATCCAGGGCTGTGCTTTAGACATGTGGAAGGAAAGTGCTTAAAGGCAAAATTCCTCCAGTATATACCATAGTGTGGGAACTGAAAGCCACTTTTCATTCTCATTAATCCTGTTAAAAAGTATTGTACATCAAGGCTGTGAGAACAACCCTATCTATCCACAACCCAAACATACCATTTTCCACTTTAAAGCACAGGGATTGTTATTTTCCTAAATACAACAAACTCTAATGTGATTGATGATATAGAGTGTGCCTAAGGAGAGTCACAAGGAGAGAAAGCATTCTTTCAGGCTTTTACAAAGAGCAAATTGGTCAAGTAATGGCCACTACTCATCTATATGACTGACACTGAAAAAGGATCTACAAACTGTGATACAGGGGTTCAGGTTAAATCCTGAGGGGATTTGATTGACTTTATCATATACAGAAGTTACATTTCTTGTTATATAGGTCTTGCTTTGTCTTGTTCTTAACCATCCAGCAGAAAAGTATGAAAACAAAGTATAAAAAATAAAGCCACATTAATATGCTGCACTGTAAAAAGCTCAAGTCAACAACTTTGGACATTGCCAGCCTTATGGAAAACCAACTACTATTATGGACTACTGGACTACATTGGGAGATTCTGCTGAATTCAAACACTTACAATATTTAAATGACAATGGAGTGCCCATGTCTGACAAAACTAACCAAAAAAATGGGATAGAAATGAACAACCATTGTGTATCTGTATACTCAAAATAGTTAGGATAGATATACAGCTCCACTCTCTTTATTCAGTGAATAGAGAGGTTTGTTATAATAGTGTTTGAGACAGAATATCATGTCTGCATCTTGTACCACTGATGAATAACCACTAAGACAATAATATGCAATGTATTATTACTGAAAATGTGCCAATAATTGGCTGTGAAACTGTCTCATTGATATTTATTTCTCAATAAAATTATTTAAAAATCTAGATCTAAGACTTTTCTTGAAAGAAAGTTAGTATATATAAATACATATAGACCTTAAGCATCAAGACTGGGCTAATTAATGAAATAAAAACTCCTCAATAAATCCTCTTCTGCTGATTTCACATTCAGTATCTCTAGTTCTGGAGCAGGCAACAGCTTCTGGGAGAAGTGGCTTGACCTAGTCCTCAGATTCTGCTCCATCTCCATCTTGACTGAAAGTAATAAAGTTGATATGTCTCACTGTCAGGTGCAGCCACAAGAAGCCAATCATGAAGATTTTTCTTCTTATAGTACTTTCTGGTAGTGTACTTCAGTACCTTTCAGAGAATCATCTCTAAGGAACAACTGTGATTTTATTTTTGAAATGTCCAATATGAACAATATTGCTCTACGTTTCTGTTTTTCACTGATATTGACCTGAAAAACTTCAAAATTTCCAGAAGCCAAACAGAGTCCAGATCAGTTTTCCAGGAGGATCTCTTAGGCTTCTTGTCTTTCTGTGGCACCATCATAAGAGCGGGCTATGCAGGCACAGGGAATTTAAACTGCCTGTGAAGCCTTCTAAATGGAAAAATAAAATTCCTGGCCACTGCATCCATTAAGTTCTGGACTGTCCTGAACCCATCCCAAATGTTGGAGAAGCAAGGGCATGGACAGAGGCATGTCTGAGCTGCAAGCAAGAGGAAGCCTCTCCCATGTCTTCCCATAATGCCAGGATGGATTACCCATAAACTTCCAGCAATTAGGAGTGTAACAGCTCCCTAGGTGCTTTGGTTGTGCTAGAACCTAGGAACAGACTGACTCATTCACTGAGCCCAAGTATTTCATGAATTTCAGGGAGTTTGAGGGTGTAGATGTCCACACGTTGCCCTAGCTGATGAGTTGGAGGCTATGGTAGCCAGGCTGGATGAATTAACAGTAGAGAGTCTCCCATTAGTCCAGTGGTTCTCAGATTTGAGCATATTTCAGAATCAATCAGTTTCTCATTCAGCAGGTCTGGGTGGGACCCAATACCTACATTTTT